ATGAATAATATATATTTATTAATAATTTATATTAATTAAAATATAATATAAATAAATAAATAAAACAGAAAATAAAATAAATAATATATATTAATTAAAATTTTCTTTAATTAATAATAAAATAAAAAGTAATAATCACAAAAAAACAAAAAAACACAAAAAATTATAAAACATAAATGATTAAAGGCTACTTAGGGGTGACATTAGCACATGATAGGAGTGCCATTAGCCACCCCCTAAAACAATCATCCTCATGCATCGATACAAAAAATTTAACAGATATAATTTTTTTTTTGTATATTTATACTTTCACAACTCCCAAAAATGGTCCAAGGACATCGAAGTTCGTATTTTACGTTTTTTCTAACATCTATAACTGATACACTTTTTATATTAAGATATAGATAAAATTATATGTACCATCAAGATGATTATTATAATTTCTTATATAAAACAAACATATAATGCAATATATATTTTCTCTTCGTAATTATAACTCCTCAAAAAATATATTATTGGTAGTTATTCTTACATTTATGTTTTTATTTTACTTTTAATATTTGTACGTCTTTATAACAATGATAAACTAGCTTATTGAAAACGTATCATTTGGAAATAAATAGCTTTTTCAAAAGAATTTTTATATAGTTTTTCAATAAATTTTACAGGGTTTTTCAATTTTTTTCTCAATTTTGCACCTTAAATATTAGAATTGGGTAATTCTTTAACATATTCTTTTAAGTTATTTTACATTATCATTTAACTTATCAGTTAATTTTTATTATATGTAACTAATTTATAAGTTAACAACTAGTTTTTCAAGCAAAAATTAATTTGATAAACATTATGGAACGGTTAATGGGAACAAATCATGAGTAATATTGATAATTTATAACTAATTATTATCTATACTATATTATAAAGCATTTGATCCAATCTCTTAAAAACAACTTTTAAAGTATTATGTATTGTTTATTGATGCATGTTACTTAAAGTTTAAGATACAAGTAAATTGTCCGTATGTACAACTTATTAAAGCTCCATGTTTGAATTTGTATAACTAACTACAAATAAACATAATCAAATTATGGATAACTATCTCATTTTACCAAAGGGCCTTTGGCCTAGCGTTATCGTAGCATTTGGTCTTCTAGGAGGTCAGGGGTTCAAACTTTACTATAGGTGAGGAGGGTGTGTAAGTTTATTTGTTGCATTTGCCGTATATAAATATTATATACTTCAAAAAAAAACTATCTCATTTTAAATATAAAAAATCTAAAATATATTTAGAATAATCATTGAATTCAAAATATTAAATATTATCTTTATAAAAAATTATTTTATTAAAC